CATAAAAGCCGCAGCAGCAGCGGGAGTAAATGTTTTGTGCATGCAAGAAGCTTGGAGTAAGTATAACTTTTGAAAATCCCAATAAAGAAATTTCTAAAAAAAATAATTTTCCACAGCCATGCCATTTGCTTTCTGTACACGTGAAAAATTCCCCTGGTGTGAGTTTGCGGAAGAAGCCATTTCTGGTCCCACTACCAAAATGCTACAGGAATTGGCTAAAGCCTATAATATGGTCATTATTTCACCGATTTTGGAAAGAGATGTAGAACATTGTGATATCATTTGGAATACAGCTGTTGTGATTTCAAATAAGGGCCGCTATATGGGTAAACATCGTAAGAATCATATACCTCGTGTGGGTGATTTCAATGAGTCCACCTATTATGTGGAAGGCAATACCGGTCATCCAGTATTCGAAACTGAATTTGGCAAAATTGCCATTAACATTTGTTATGGTCGTCATCATCCTCAGAATTGGATGATGTTTGGCTTAAATGGTGCTGAGATAGTTTTTAATCCTTCGGCCACGGTTGGGGCCCTAAGTGAACCCTTGTGGTCGATTGAGGCTAGAAATGCTGCCATCGCAAATAGTTATTTTACAGTTGCCATTAATCGTGTTGGCTATGAGGAATTCCCCAATGAATACACTTCGGGAGATGGTCAAAAGGCTCATAAAACATTTGGCCCCTTCTATGGTTCTTCGTATGTGGCTGCACCTGATGGCAGTAGAACTCCGGTAAGTGTGATATTAAAGGAACATTTTAGTTGATTGTGTGTACTATATTCGATTATATATTTATAGGGTCTTTCTCGCGACAAAGATGGTCTTTTGATTACCGAATTAGATTTGAATATGTGCCGCCAAGTGAAAGACTTTTGGAATTTCCCTATGACTCGAAGACTAGAACTTTATGCTGAATCTTTCAAAAAAGTCTCCGATTTAGATTTTAAGCCACAAATTATTAGAGAATAGTTTAAAGATTTAATTGTAATTTTATATAACTTTTTTTAAGGAAATAAATGATCTGAAATACATACCTTTTACGTCTAATTGTTTTATGAAATCCAAATAAATTTAAAATTTCTAACAAGTAAGAATGTATTATATATTATACCCTACAACAGTGAATATGTTACAAATATGTATTATTTTTCGTAAGACCCATTCCGTGGGTACAGTTTTCCATGGGTCCATGAAAATTGCAAAAGGTTATATCCTCAGGGATAAAGATCGTAAAACTTGTAGAAATTAGATTCATTAGACCTTGGATCTATATCATAGAATTCATAAAAATATAAATTTACTATTTGTTCTTACAGAAAGAGTATAAAATACGTCTATGATATAGCCATTCTCTAAGCAAGTCGTAAATTTAATGTGCATTTCGGAAGGCGGTCCTATATATGAAATTATATGGATCGATTCTTTCGTAATTTTTACGACCTTTAACACAGACTGACTTCAGGTAGCCAGGAAACCCTAGAGCTTCTGCTGAATACTTACTTTCCCGGTTGTATCTAAATAGGAGATTCAAATAACTCCTCTCTAAATTCAATACGTACGGTAAAAATAGTACCTATTGATGACGACATTATTATTAAAAGCGTTGACCCTTAGAAAGTGCCTGACCCTGATGGTATTATCAAGGAGGATATTCAACACAACATAGATTTTGTCGTTCCTTGACTACGAAACTTATACAACGCCTGTCTTTCTTGTTCCTACATCCCTATACAAAGGACCAAGTGTAATGGGATTTTTATTCCCAAGAGGGATAAAACTTTACATACTAAGGCTAAAGATTGCAGACCAATTAGTCTGGCATCTCTTCTGCTAAAAACATTGGAAAGGATAATCGATATCGATAAAAGGTCCTCGATCGATAAATTCTTTCTCTCTACCTCTCAACATGCATACACAAAGGGTAAATCTGTTGAGACGGCGCTTCATACTCTAATCGGATATATTGAGAAATCCATGGGGTATGAAAATTATATATTGGCCACTTTTTTTGATATAGAAGACGTTATTAATAATGTAAAACCTGCTTCTATCTGCCAATCTGTATCTTGACAGGTCTGTTATGGATTTTGTTGAGAGTCTTTTCTCAAATAGGATCATAGAATCCTCCTTAGGAGACATACTAATCTCTAAAAAAGCGATAAGAGGCACTCCACAAGGTGCAGTAATATCACCACACTTAAGGAATATGGTCATTAATGATATTCTAGTAAAACTAGACTCTTTTGGCTACAAAACAGTTGCCTATGCCGATGATGTCGTGGTAGCGGTATCAGGCGATCCTCTTGAAACCTTATCTCAAAGGTTAGAACAAGCACTAAAAATCATTAGCTCGTGAAGCGTCAAATGTTTTCTTAGTGTAAAGTCCAGCAAAACGGAACTTGTGCAATTTTCGGGAAAATACCAAGATCCCTTTGTTTCGTCTTCCTCAACTTAACGGTGAGGTATTAAAGCTCTCGGACAGCGCTAAATACTTGGGCGTTATTCTAGGTAAGAAGATATCTTGGAGCACAAATGAACTCTCTAGGACATATAAACCCATTACGGTTCTATATGTTTGTATGAAGGCCATAGGAACATGTTGGACTTATATAAAGAATGGGGTACGCTGTATGGGGTAGTTGTCTAGTGGCAGGCGCTTGAAAATGCATCGCTTAGGCAACACCTTGAAAAGGTTATGAGATTTACTGCTCCTCCCATTACCAGTGCTCTTAGAACAACTCCCTTTAAGGCGTTGTTTACTATGCTCAATTGGCTTCCAGTTGACCTTCTAGCCAAGCAATTGGCTATGAGCACTGCGAACAGATTGAGTTTTACTGGCAAAGGGTAAATCTGTTCCATGGGAAATGCTAAGATCATGGATCTTTTGCCGAGTCATAAGTACGCTAGTGATTATGGCATTCCGAAACCGTTTCTTATGGGACAATTCCAGTATTATATCTTTTCTTTCGCCAATTAATTGTTTCCGTGCGTATACAGATGGATCCAAGACGACGAAAGGAGTTGGTGGTGGCATATTCATCGAGGAATTTGATATAAACATCTCTTTCCGACTCAATAATGACTGCAGTGTCCTCGCGTCGAATTGGCTAAGGTACTATGGGATATCTAATAGGGATATCGGTATTTATACCGATAGTCAAGCTGCTATTAAATCCCTAATTGGTGTGTTTTCCACATCTAGAAAAGGCGAGACATTCGAACATCACAGTAATTTGGGGACACGTGAGTTCGTATGGCAAAAATATTGCTGACACCACGCTTAGCGGACTGAAAATAGATCAGTTCTGCGGTGTTTCACTTCTTGTAATAGAGAAGCAGATTATTCAAAACTGCTCCTCTATTGCTCGTGACCGATGGTCGCGTGAACACACGTGCTTAATAGCTAGAGCGCTGTGGCCACATATACATAGATCCATGCAGGTCTAAATATCTCCTTGGTCTCCATAGGCCAGAACTAGGTAAATTTGGAAACCATGCTAGACGCATTGGTCTTCCGTTCTATGATTTCTGTACGAGTTGTCAAAATGAGGATGAAGAAGAGAGTATATCTGATATTTTGGCGTTCATAAATTTGTCAGAATGGGTGTGAACTTCGGTATTCCCACTAATCAGGACGTAATCTTTGTAGTCACGTCTTTTTACTCCATGACAATTAGGCCTGGTTTTTCTGCTCAACGGTTTTCCTCACTTTTCCTCTCTGCCTTTTCTATTTTTTTCCCTATCATTCGTTTCTTCTTACAGGTATTTTTACAAAGGAATCAAGTTGGATCCAAGTAAAGCTGCATTAGCTATCTTTGATAACCTAACCTAACTAACACAAGCTGAGAAAAAGATTATGGTATATAGAAGTGCCAGACTTATTTCCATAAACTTTTAGTTGTACCCCTCTGTGCACCCATAAACTTAAACAATAGTTAATTTGTTTTTCATAATAATTTTTATTTTATTTGAAAATTATACATTAGTTTTATTTGTTTTTTTTTTATTGTTGGTTTAATTTCATTTTTGTTTTTGGTTTTCATGATAAATAACAATTACACACAATATTTTTTTTCTTTGGTTTCTTCTTTTCAACATTAAACATTTTTAATAAATTCTTTAATTATGGATTTTCATTTGGATTTAATTTTTTTTTCATTTATTATTGTTTCTTTAAGATACATGTACATAAATAGTCATCATAATGTAAAGTCTCCTGTTTTTTTTAATAATGGACTTTTTTTTCTTTAAATTTTAAATTTTATTTGCATTTTTTTGTCAATAAGTAGTAAAATAGATTAATATTATTCTCTTTTTTTAACAATTTTTTTAATTACAAGGTTTGTTTTTGTTGTTCATTATTATTGTATTGTTTTCATTGTTGTTTTTTTTTTACAATTTGTATTTGTTTATTGTTGTGGCTTTTTTTTAATTTAATTAAACATTTAGCAAGGTACATTCAAAAATTTGTTTAAAAATTATTGAATTTAAAAAAAACTTGTTTACTTTTATAGTTTTTAAACTGTATATGAAATAAAAAAAGAGTTGGCAACACTGTAAATGATGGTTATTTTCTATTTTGAAATTTCAACTGTTAATGTTAAGTTCAATTATTAATGTAATTAAGTAATTAATGTTCTGAAAATAATTTATTTAAAATGTTTGTTTTTGTTTTAATGTATTTATTTATAAGTACATGTGTGTCTGTGTGTTTGTTTGTATGTAATTTATTTTCAATAAAGAGCAGGAATTCAATAACAATTTTCATTAAATAACGAGTGATTTTTTTTGTTTAAATATTTTTATTTATATATTTATGTAATTATTAAGTAGTGAGCTTTTGTATGCATTTTATGAGTTTTTGAGTTCTTCTACTTAAAAATAGATAATTGTTTAATGTTTTATTGTTTTGTTTTTTGTTTTCTAAATAAGTGAATTTGGTGTTATAAGGATTTTTGTTTATGATTTTCTTTTTGGGATTTCATAATTTAAGTACATATTTAATTTGTTTGTTCTTTGTTTTTGGCATTTTTTGTAGCAGTGTTTTGTCTTTTGTGTTTTTTTTTGGTTGTTGTTGTCGTCAGTTTTCCATTTTCACTTCCATTACAATATCATTTCCTTCTAGCTACCCATTAGATTTTAGCTGCCTTCTTCTACTTTGCCAATAGAGAAAATAAACATTTATTGGACCCACGATGATGGAGCCCATAATGGCTCATTTTCTAGTCTTTGTACAGTGTTGACAAGTTTTTCAAATGCTGTTACTAAATCAGCATTGATAATTTCATCATCGAAAAAGTGTCCATACAGGAAATCAACACGTTCCGCTGATTTAATCATATCATTGAATTCGTCATCCTGTAATATAAAGAAATTGTTAAAATTAATAGTGGTAATTTTATTAGGTTGGCAACATTCACACAAAAGCTTTTGAACTTTTTAAAAGCTTTGCCAACAGAGCTGTACTATAATAAATAAGTAAGGTGTCAGGTTATATTAGAAATGTATAGTTGTGCTTGTTTTATCATATAATCATAAAGTATGACCAGTTATGAGAATAAAATGTTGTTTATATTTCAAAATAAAGCATTTTAAAATGAATTGTACCTTGCCTCCGATATATTTAAGGAATTGATTGAACACAGAATATTTATTTAAAGGAGACTTTATATGGGGGCCGTGGGGAAATATGGACTGATGGATTTATATTTACATAAAATGTATTTAGCTAAATTTCATTACATCATTTAGTCTTTTTGAGAATTGTGGACATTTAAGTCATTTTCTGTAGGGGGATTTGTATGGAGGCTAGGGTCAAAGGACATTTAAGTCATTTTCTGTAGGGGGATTTGGATTGGGGCTAGGGTCAAAGGAGGGAAGATGATAAAAATATTTAGGCGGGGTCATCAAGGCTTGTATGAAACTTAGTTGTGCCATTTTTGTCGAAATACGAGTATTATTATGAGCTCAAACGCCCTATGGGGGCTAGATGAAACAATATACAGTTTTTAATCGTTTTCAAAAGGCTTCGTGTGATCATGTACCAAATTTCATTGAATTATATAGTTTTCTCATTAGTTAGTGTTCGAGTCGGTGAACTAACTAACTACTAACTAACTAACTAACTAACTAACTAACTAACTAACTAACTAACTAACTAACTACTAACTAACTAACTAACTAACTAACTAACTAACTAACTAACTAACTAACTAACTAACTAACTAACTAACTAACTAACTAACTAACTACTAACTAACTAACTAACTAACTAACTAACTACTAACTAACTAACTAACTAACTAACTAACTAACTAACTAACTAACTAACAAACTAACTAACAAACTAACTAACTAACTAACTAACTAACTAACTAACTAACTAACTAACTAACTAACTAACTAACTAACTAACTAACTAACTACTAACTAACTAACTAACTAACTAACTAACTAACTAACTAACTAACTAACTAACTAACTAACTAACTAACTAACTAACTAACTAACTAACTAACTAACTAACTAACTAACTAACTAACTAACTAACTAACTAACTAACTAACTAACTAACTAACTAACTAACTAACTAACTAACTAACTAACTAACTAACTAACTAACGAACTAACTAACTAACTAACTAACTAACTAACTAACTAACTAACTAACTAACTACTAACTAACTAACTAACTAACTAACTAACTAACTAACTAACTAACTAACTAACTAACTACTAACTAACTAACTAACTAACTAACTAACTAACTAACTAACTAACTAACTAACTAACTAACTAACTAACTAACTAACTAACTAACTAACTAACTAACTAACTAACTAACTAGCTAACTAACTAACTAACTAACTTACTAACTAACTAACTAACTAACTAACTTACTAACTAACTTACATGGATTTTTATTATTATAATTTACATGTTTGGGACCACAATTTGAGGGAGGGATAAACCCCTCCCGTGGTCAAACAATGACACTAGTTTATATTGAAAATTTCCAGTTTTGTATTTATTGTTTAGAGTAAATATCTAAAACTTTAACGCTCGGGAAAAAGTGATATACTTTTGCAACGCATATCTTTATGCTCTATATGGGATGGCTAGAGCGAACCAATTAGAAATTTCCAAAAATAGTATTAACACTAATCTATATTTATATATAAAATTCTAACGTTACTGAATGACTGACTGATTCATCATCGCACAGCCTAAACGGTTGAAGCTAAAGAGCTGAAATTTGGACAGGAGGTTGGTCTTCCACCAAATAGATCCACTAAGACGGGATTTTTGGAAATTCGAATGTTTAGGGGGTAAAAAATGGTAAAACCGGGTAAATTCGATAAACTCATATCTCCTAAACTAGAAAAGATACAAAAACAGTTATCGTCGTTCATTTAAAAAATAAGCGAAGAGGTGTCTGGTACTTTTTTCAAAATCGGGCCCTATAGAGAATAAACGGGTAAAAACTGTATTTTGGTACTTTTTTTGTAACCCATGTATCTTTCAAACCAGAAAACATTCAAAAATATTTTTGACACCTTCATAACTTGACGAAAAAATAAAAATATGAATTTAGTACTTTTTTGATATTCGGACGTTTAAGGGGTGAAAATTGTACCTATTTTTGGTACTTTTTTCATAAAACATTGTTTTTGGTTTATTAACTTATACATATTAATACGTAATAACGGGATCCCAATACGATGTTGCAACTTTTTGGAATAGAATACCAAAAAAAAAAAGGAAAAAAGTACCAAAAGGGGTAAAAACGAGAAATTTTATTTTATTCAAACACAATGATCCAATTTATATAAAATTTTTAGATCTAGAAACACTAAATATGCTAATGGGGTGTTATTTGGAATCCAGTAGCAAGGGATATTTTTTGGTAACTTTTCATTCTCCAACTGGTACTTTTTGAGTTTTCTATGATATTGAAATCGAAACATGAAATTATTATAAACGGACATTTCGGTACTTTTTCGTTCTACACAGGTACTTTTCTGAGTTTTCTTTAAAATTAAACCTAGAAACACGAAATTAAGCTGTAGAGCCCGGAGTAAAAAAGAGTACTTTTTCGTACTTCATCTGGTACTTTTTGAGTTTTTTAAAATATATAAAAATGAAACACACAGTATCCAGATTGAACGAAAATTTAAAAAGGTTACTTTCTGGTACTTTTTTGCTCTTTTAATAATACTTTTCGAATTTTCTATAATATTGAACCTAAAAACATAAAATTGGACACTCAGCTTTCTGATTGTATAAAAATCTGTAAGCGAGGAATTTCTGGTTGAAAATCAAACATGCATCATCCTGATTTAATTAAAATCTATAAAAAGGCACTGTCTGGTACTTTTTCGTTCTTCAACTGTTTTTTTTTTTAATTGTCTGTAATATTGAGACTAGAATCATAAAATCAAACTATGTATATAAAAGGGGACTTTTTGATATTGCAGATATGTATATGTATATTAGGGTGATTGACTCGGTTTTTCAACCGGTTTTTTCGGCTTTACCAGTGTCGGTGTTTTCTAAATGTTGATTTTTCGAATATCGAATAACCCGGTTTTTTTACTTTTTAAAACCCGGTTGAGAATACTTTTTTTGCTTTGTATTCAAAGATTACTTAAATTAAATTTTGAAGTAAATAATAATACAGCCCGTCTAAATTATAAAAATATTGGAGTCCAGGAACTAGAGTATATTTTTCTAACACACCTTTTATTAATTTCCTAATTAATAAACAAATTTTATTTGTAAAATTTATTGGAATAACTGTTTAATAAAATTTTATCAATCTTAAGATTATTTCCAATTAAATTAATTAATTTGCGTCTAAAATATTATAGAAGTGAAAATTGTCTAAACAGGGATTTTAGAATAAGCTAGGATTACATAGTTAGTTATGTTTAACGGAAGTGTCCCACTTTTATTAATTTTTTTACATTAAAATAATAATGAAAATTAGACGACTAGATCTAAAGTTATAATATTTTAAACTGTTAAAAATCAGTTCGGGTCATGTTTTATTAATCAAATTTAGTTAGTTTAGTTAGTTAGTTAGTTTGAAAGGAGGATGTATATACATCAAATCCGAAGAAATACACCTAGGCCTCTATCGGGCCTGTTGTGCGCTCCTTAACCAGTGCCTTAGGTGGGAATCGAACCCACCACCTCCGGTCTACCAGACTAGAACACTAACCACTAACCTACCGGAGGCCACAATTAATCAAATTTAAACATAAACGTTTTTTTTTCAAATTAAAATAGATTTCGTTACTTATAATAAAAAACCGGTTAGCCGGCTTTTTCTGAAATTGAAAAATGTCAACCGGTTTTTTAAAATGTAAACTATTTGAACTATTCGAAACCCGGTTTTAGGAAAATGTCGAATAATCGATCACCCTAATGTATATACATTTACAATAATAATATTTATTTTATTCCATTACGATGAGAGTGGCGAAGCACACTGGGTATGTATATTTACATAAAACTAATATTAACAGAAATCGTATTAACAACGGAAACCTAGATCGGTTCATAATTGACCTTAACTCGCATATAAGACAAACTTCTAAATTCAGTTATCTAAACTATTTCTCCAACTTACCGTAAAACCTCTGGCATTTGATTCATCAAATGTCGATTTAGCTCTCGATTCCGTACGAGTCTTTTTAAGTTCATCAAATTCCGGTGGTTTAATGTGAATAAGAAACGGTTTCAGTTGAACAGTTCTCAATGCCTTGATGGCCTGATAGTGAGGACTCAGCAGGCAAACACAACCAGCATTAACAATCGATTTGACACTTTCCGCTGAAGTACCATATAAATGACCCTTATATTCACCGTGTTCAATAAATTTGCCAGCCTCAATATCGGCCTCCATTTTCTCACGGCTAACAAAGATGTATTCACGGCCCGCTACCTCACCGGTACGCATGGGACGGGTGGTATCTAAATGATAATTGTAATTAATTCCTTATCAAGTTAAGAAAGTGTCTATTATAACTTACATGGCACAGGACTGCGATATTTTTCTGGATCTCTGGCTATTAAGCGTCTTCTCAACTCATTGCGTCCGACACCGGGGGCACCTATTAGTACCACAGGTCTATAAATGCCAGGACGTGGATATAATTTGGCAACCTCTTCATAAGTGGCAATCATTTCACGATCAAAGTCATCATTCTCTGTTAAATCGTACATGATTTTTTTAGTTTTTGGTTGACGACATGAGGATGTACTACTACTAGATCGTAGCATAGGCGAACCGGGCGGGGTATTACATATTGAGGTACATGAGCCTTCTGATTTTAGTTTGTTAATGATGATTAAAGCCAATTTTTTTTTGGTTAGAGATGATTATGTTATTATTTTAGTTAAATGCGAGGGTAAGTAAAGTCGGGAACATTTAACATGCGATTAAAAGAAAATGTTTATGATTTTAGTGATTAGTGAATTAGAGGTTAATGATATAACAAATATATATTTTAGAAGTTTGGATTATATTTAAATAAAAGTTGGAGTTTTGTTAAATATTATAAAGAAATCGGAAGAATGAAATGATTTTATGAGAGAAATAGCGGAACATAAGGGTTGTTAAGAGATAATTATACTATCCAATACATAATGTACAGGTTTATTACTATCTGGTCAGTCGCACAGGTCACCCCCTCAAATAATTTTATTTACAATATTAACGTTCCATTCGATTTTGGTTTTTTTTTAATTACTTTTAAATTAGTTAATTCATTTTAATTTTGAAGAAGTAGCTAAATGCGGATTAAATTTGATGGGAATAGACTTCTATAAAAGGTTATATATATGAAATTTCGAATCGAAATAGTTTTAAGACCAAATTACGTTAGTTTTTGCATTACAAAACATTCAATTTTAAAGCTTTTAATCTATAATTAGAAAATTGTCAAGTATTGGACCTCTTACGAATACTCCTATTACTCTTATCTGGGTCTTGAAATAAAAATATTATTTCCTACATTTATATCTTACTTTTAGACTCTCCATCACTAACATCACGTTGCGTTCTCTCGTGAAGAATACGTCTTTCTTGCAAGGCACGACTTGGTATAAGACCCGCACGAGCAGTACGCTCTGATTCTTTGCGAGCTTGCCACCAGTAAGCATCATCCTTTAAAGAAAGAAAAATTAAATGATAAAGACCAAATTGAAAAAATTCAAATCTTTACAAACCTGTGATACAATGTGTAAAATGTCACCACGTTGAAATGCTAAACCCGCTTCTTTACAAGGAATATAAGGATCCACTTCCGGATTATAATTGAAATGAGCACGTACTCGTACTTTAGATTCACGTTGAGCCCCCTTGCCATCGGATGGTACTAATTTAAATGTTATAGTACCCTCCGAATTTTGCTGAAATTTTCATAGAAAGAAAATCAATAAAATGTTTGATTTGTATCACAAACATACTTACCAATATACTTAATACATCACCGGGTGTTTTACCCTCAACATTAATACCATTAACTTCGATTACTTCATCGCCCACATGTATAAGTCCCGAACGATCGGCTGCTCCACCATGCATTATACGGGCTATGATTATTTTACCCGTCTCTTCGTCCGTTTTAATGGTGGCTCCCTAAAAGCATTAAATGTTGCATTTACTATCAAAATTTCGGAAAGTGAGTACTTCTATATACAGATATGATGTAAATATTTACGCAAAATATAAAATCTATTAATTTTGATTTGAATTTTCTACAAAGACAAAGTACGACACAAATGTTTTAAGTGTATGTTTTAAAGATGTAAAATAAACTTACTGAAATTTTGCATATTTATAAATTTTGAATATAAGTAACTCTCTCAGGAATCTCGCTTTAAAATTGAGTTTTGTTGTAAACATTTTTACAAATGTTATTAAAATTGTATCAATTTTAGAATCCCTTAAAAGGGATTATGAACTGAATATCATTCTACTCTTCTAGTTACATCAGATATTATCTACTTAATCCAGATGCAGCAATAATGTTTACAGTTTCCTTACTATCAGTATAAATATAGATATCTCCAGGTGCGTTATATTACCTAATCCAGATAGTAATCTGGTAGCCTTAATGGATTTCAGACCCTTTATTTTTATACCCACCATCAAAAAAGATGGGGGGTATATTGATTTTGTCATTCCGTTTGTAACACATAGAAATATTGGTCATAGACCCACAAAAGTATATATATTCTGGGTCCTCATTAAATTCTAAGACGATCTAGCCATGTCTGTCCGTCCGTCCGTCTGTCTGTCTGTCTGTTGAAAGCACGATAGAGTCCGAGTGGAAAGAGCTAGAGGGTTGAAATTTCGCATAAATATTTCTTATAAGTAAGGTTTGTTTGGTATTGTTTGGGCAATATCGGTCCACGTTTTCGGATAGCCCCCATACAAGTGGCCCCTCGAAAAGCAGCTTTAACAGCCATAACTTGTTTAAAAATACGAATATAGCGATGAAATTCGACATAAGTAAGTTTCTTATGATCCAAAATCAATATGCGAAATTTTATGAGGATCGGTTCATAATTGACCCTACCCCCCATATAAGGTCCCCTTCAGAAAATGACTTTAACGCTCATTACTGGCTTAAAAATACTAGTATATAGATGAAATTCGACATAAGTAAGTTTCATTCGAGTCAAAATCTATCTAAAAATTTTTATGAGGATCGGTCCATGATTGACCCTACCCCCCCATATAAGGTCCCCTTCAGAAAATGACTGCAACGCTTATTAATGGTTTAAAAATACGAGTGTAGCGATGAAATTCGACACAAATAAATTTAATACGAACCAAATTCTATCTACCAAATTTTATGAGGATCGACCCATAATTGACCCTACCCCCCTATATATGGTCCCCTTCAGAAAATTACTTTAACGCTTATAACTGGCCTAAATATACGAGTATATAGATGAAATTCGACATAAGTAAGTTTCATTCGAGTCAAACGAGGTTTGATGGTGGGTATATAAGATTCGGCATAGCCGAATATAACACTCTTACTTGTTTGAATCTGTCTCCTCTCCTCCCATCATTCTTAAATATGTCGTTGAATACTTTTCTACTACATTCGAGGAGTTATAAATCGTTAGACCAAATATCTCTTTTAGGTATTAGTGTAGAAATTATTATATCGTAAGAAGGGTCCGGTATGCAATAGTCAACATTCCTATGTAAATATTAAAAGAAAATGTTCTATTTTAATCCAAGAGCCCCCAGCATTTAGTCTTAAAGCTAAGTTAAAAACTAATCGCCATAAGATCGTCAAATCATGTCTTGGTTAATTGTCCGGAATAAACGTCCAACGGCATAATAATGGAGGAGTTATGAATCCTTAGACCAAATGTCTCTGTTAGGCATTAGTGTGGAAATTATCATATCGTAAGTCAATATTCCTATGTAAATATTAAAAGAATATCAATGCTCATGTTCTCTTTTAGTCCATTAGGCCCCAGCATTTAGTCTTAAAGCAAAGTTAAAAACTAATCTTTTAAACTTTATATCTCCATGTGATGTAAAGAGGATCAGTTTCATTTACGAACAATTGAAACATCATCCACATATTTGACGGTTTTTATCCATTTTCTGTCTAATTCCTTATGCTCCGTTAAAAGGGTCAAAAAAATCTTATATTGTCTTTTCAGAATTTTCAATACGAATGATACGAAACTAATCAACACTTTGCCTCTGTAACTCTGTATTTGCCTCTTAGACTACTTTTTATACTTTGACAAGATCGAAGATCCTAATTTATCTAAAGATTTGCAGGGATAATTTCTTTCAAACAAGGTGATTTGAACGGACTATAGGATGGAGTTTACATTATATGGATACCAGGCCACACGGGAGTAGCCGGTTACGAAAGAGCGAATATATTAGCTTCAAAGAGGCAACGAAGGCCTGAATAAAAAATATAGGTAAGAGAGTCCCATAAAGTCTCTTGTAAAAATTTAACGATATGTAGAACCACAAAGATGGGGTAACCCTAACGAGACAAGGACGAGATGCTTCCTCAAAATGAGCATTAGGTTAGAATGATGGTAGTATTCTGAGTGGACACACAGGATTACAAGAACAACTATACAAAATTGGACTTGCGGATTTAGCCGAATGTAGAGCATATAGAGAAGGTAGAGAAACTCTACAGCATTTTCTCTGACATTGTTAGGCATTCGACGAAATTAGATCTAAATATTATGGGAGTGATATTATTCCGTATATATCCATGAAAAGGAATACACAATTGGCCCGATAGTGGCCTAAATATATTTTTTCGGATTTGATGTAATCCACCTATCAACCAAATCTAACATAACCTATAGAATGGATTTGATAGGTATATAGATCGCTGATTTTGGACGCCTCATCGGTAAATAACTTATTTACATCTAGAGAATAGTAAAGTATGACCTACTACATCAGGTCCAACAGTTCTTGTTTGTAGAAAGGTCCTGTTAGAGAGTCTGTCGATATTAGAAAAGGAAGGTTGTGAATACTCGTGGGATGGAAATTAGTCACCTTAATAAGTCTCAAGATGTGATTTTAAGTCGCTAGAGTTTACATCTAGAGAATAGTAAAGTATGACCTACTACATCAGGTCCAACAGTTCTTGTTTGTAGAAAGGTCCTGTTAGAGAGTCTGTCGATATTAGAAAAGGAAGGTTGTGAATACTCGTGGATCGAAATTAGTCACCTTAATAAGTCTCAAGATGTGATTTTAAGTCGCTAGAGTTTTATGTGATTTACCGATGTCAAAAGTTTATGCAAAATTTCTGCAATCAACAGATATCAGACAATATATAATATGATTTGTATGAAAGAGTAACTAATGATTCTAATACCCTTATATTTGTCAAGTGAAGGCTCGATAAACGAAAAGATCAGAATAACTATAGAAATATAGAATGTCCCCTAATTTTATAAAGATAAAAAGTTCTGAACCTAAACCTCATAGTGAACAAACACAATGAAAGGCTTTTAATATTCCCAAAAAAGTCGAATAATAAATGGATCAACATTCCATGGATTTTATTTTACTTCTTTTTGTGGAGCATATAAAATTTGAAGTCCTGAAGGTACTGAACAGGAAAGACTGAATCAAATAGAATTGGTTGCAAGAGAGAAAAACTGATCAATTATGATTTGCAATTGTCTCTAAAGTTTAGACTTCAAACAGGCTAATGGTGATAAGGGTGCGGATATCTATGAACAAAAGTCATCGGAAGAGAATTTTAAGATTAAAAGTGATTTCCGATAATCGGAAGAGACGAGAGTTATTATGGATAGTGTAAGTAACACTTATGAAATTTAATAATCCCAATGAATTTGATATTATGCTAGATGCCAGACTCGAAAACAAGGGGATGTTTTCCCAAAATGCAATGGAATTGATGCAGATATTCAAAGCTTACAATTTATAGCCATAGAAGTATTTGGGAAAAAATCTTATTCCTAGATTGAGTATGAGTAGGTTCGAAACTGGTGGGGTCTAGTATTGTATAGATTCTTAGGAGAGCATAATATCATGTCAAATATACTTTATCAGTTAATGTCGAATAACCTCGTTCGTTAATACTTTAACATTTCTCGGAATAGCATTATTCGTGGACTAAGTTTGTAAATTTAAAGGTACAAAGTTTTAAAAATATTTAAAACAAATTTCAGTAAGTTTATTTTAAATTATACAAATATTTTGTTTTCTCCAAGTGTATTTATTTACAAATTTTGTGTGTTACAGTGTATGTTTATAAATAGTATTTCTTCTTATTGTGAATTGATTTTTTTTTTCTTTAACAAGAAATTGTGAAGGACATTTACTTACAACAATTGGTTCCGCACTTTGTGCTCCTGTCTGTGATTATTTTTATATATATTTTTATAGTTTTCAATAAACAAATTAAATAAAATACAAATAAATGAAATAAAAAAAGAAACACGTATCGATTTGTTTATATGAATACATTGAAATTATATTTGCAATAATATTTTTCAATTTTGATTTTTAAATAAAATTTTGCAAAACTATGAGAGAAAATATATCACATGAAAGATGATATATGCATGGTTATAGTACATGAATGATAATGAAAAGTGTGGGAAAATGACATTTAGGTAAATGTAATGGATTTCTTATATCAAAAATGTAACTGTATTTATAAACCATTTAATGAGCTTTTCTACTTGTTTAATTTAATAAATTTTAGTTTCAAAGAAATTTGATTATCAATATGTAAATCGATTTTTAAATCGTTAACGCTAACAAAATCATTTATAATGAATATTTATTTTGCGGGAAATAATAGTAAGAATAAAGGCGACCTTTTAAAAGGTTTTCGTAAACTTTAATAACAAAACAAAATAAACAAAAAACGTTATTTCCATTCAAAACTAAACAAAAAGCAAAAGAAAAAATAAAACTATAAAACTGCCATAAAACCCCCCATTAAGAATCGGAATAAAATGAAAATTAATTAATGTTAGACAATAGAGAAAATATGAATAGAAAGAAAAACATGAGCGACACATTGTCGCCATGCCAATATTTGCGAAAATTCTCATACACACTTCCGTTTTTCAGATAATACCAGATATACATACATACATACATTCATACTCATGTATGAATGTATGTATGAAAGGAAAACTCATATGACTTTTAAACATGCAAAAGAATTCAGACATTTTGACTTTAACAAATGTTTGTTAATTCAAATAGTGCGTGAGACTGGGGACTTGAAAACTTTTGTAAATAGTTATTTTATTATATATTTAAAGAAATATATTCCAAACCGAAAATATTTAATTTTCAACCTGAATTTTCCTTAAAAATATTTAAAATCTAATTTTTGAAAATTAAAAACAAATTTTGTACCTTCTCCAAAAAAAGGATTGTAAAATATGAAGTTCAGTTGTACTTCAGTTTTAGTTCAGTTCTATTTTAGATCTATTTAAGTTGTAGTTCCGTTCTAAGTATTTCAGCTCTAGTGGAGAACTTCTAGTTCAGTTGTAGTTCCGCTCTGGTTCAGTTGTAGTTCAGAACTTCTAGTTCAATTCTCGTTCTAGTTCAATTCTCGTTCTGGTTCAGTTCTAGCTTAGTTCTAGTTAGGTTCTAGTTAGGTTCTAGTTCCGTTCTAGTTCGGTTCTAGATCAGTCTAGATCAGTTCTAGTTCAGTTTTAGTTCAGTTCTAGTTCAGTTCTAGTTCAGTTCTAGTTCAGTTCTAGTTCAGTTCTAGTTCAGTTCTAGTTCAGTTCTAGTTCAGTTCTAGTTCAGTTCTAGTTCAGTTCTAGTTCAGTTCTAGTTCAGTTCTAGTTCAGTTCTAGTTCAGTTCTAGTTCAGTTCTAGTTCAGTTCTAGTTCAGTTCTAGTTCAGTTCTAGTTCAGTTCTAGTTCAGTTCTAGTTCAGTTCTAGTTCAGTTCTAGTTCAGTTCTAGTTCAGTTCTAGTTAAGTTCTAGTTCAGTTCTAGTTCAGTTCTAGTTCAGTTCTAGTTCAGTTCTAGTTCAGTTCTAGTTCAGTTCTAGTTCAGTTCTAGTTCAGTTCTAGTTCAGTTCTAGTTCAGTTCTAGTTCAGTTCTAGTTCATTTCTAGTTCATTTCTAGTTCATTTCTAGTTCAGTTCTAGTTCAGTTCTAGTCAGTTCTAGTTCAGTTCTAGTTCAGTTCTAGTTCAGTTCTAGTTCAGTTCTAGTTCAGTTCTAGTTCAGTTCTAGTTCAGTTCTAGTTCAGTTCTAGTTCAGTTCTAGTTCAGTTCTAGTTCAGTTCTAGTTCAGTTCTAGTTCAGTTCTAGTTCAGTTCTAGTTCAGTTCTAGTTCAGTTCTAGTTCAGTTCTAGTTCAGTTCTAGTTCAGTTCTAGTTCAGTTCTAGTTCAGTTCTAGTTCAGTTCTAGTTCAGTTCTAGTTCAGTTCTAGTTCAGTTCTAGTTCAGTTCTAGTTCAGTTCTAGTTCAGTTCTAGTTCAGTTCTAGTTCAGTTCTAGTTCAGTTCTAGTTCAGTTCTAGTTCAGTTCTAGTTCAGTTCTAGTTCAGTTCTAGTTCAGTTCTAGTTCAGTTCTAGTTCAGTTCTAGTTCAGTTCTAGTTCAGTTCTAGTTCAGTTCTAGTTCAGTTCTAGTTCTAGTTCAGTTCTAGTTCAGTTCTAGTTCAGTTCTAGTTCAGTTCTAGTTCAGTTCTAGTTCAGTTCTAGTTCAGTTCTAGTTCAGTTCTAGTTCAGTTCTAGTTCAGTTCTAGTTCAGTTCTAGTTCGGTTCTAGTTCAGTTCTAGTTCAGTTCTAGTTCAGTTCTAGTTCAGTTCTAGTTCAGTTCTAGTTCAGTTCTAGTTCAGTTCTAGTTCAGTTCTAGTTCAGTTCTAGTTCTGTTCTAGTTCTGTTCTAGTTCTGTTCTAGTTCTGTTCTAGTTCTGTTCTAGTTCTGTTCTAGTTCTGTTCTAGTTCTGTTCTAGTTCTGTTCTAGTTCTGTTCTAGTTCTGTTCTAGTTCTGTTCTAGTTCTGTTCTAGTTCTGTTCTAGTTCTGTTCTAGTTCTGTTCTAGTTCTGTTCTAGTTCTGTTCTAGTTCTGTTCTAGTTCTGTTCTAGTTCTGTTCTAGTTCTGTTCTAGTTCTGTTCTAGTTCTGTTCTAGTTCTGTTCTAGTTCTGTTCTAGTTCTGTTCTAGTTCTGTTCTAGTTCTGTTCTAGTTCTGTTCTAGTTCTGTTCTAGTTCTGTTCTAGTTCTGTTCTAGTTCTGTTCTAGTTCAGTTCTAGTTCTGTTCTAGTTCTGTTCTAGTTCTGTTCTAGTTCTGTTCTAGTTCTGTTCTAGTTCTGTTCTAGTTCTGTTCTAGTTCTGTTCTAGTTCTGTTCTAGTTCTGTTCTAGTTCTGTTCTAGTTCTGTTCTAGTTCTGTTCTAGTTCTGTTCTAGTTCTGTTCTAGTTCTGTTCTAGTTCTGTTCTAGTTCTGTTCTAGTTCTGTTCTAGTTCTGTTCTAGTTCTGTTCTAGTTCTGTTCTAGTTCTGTTCTAGTTCTGTTCTAGTTCTGTTCTAGTTCTGTTCTAATTCTGTTCTAATTCTGTTCTAGTTCTGTTCTAGTTCAGGTCTACTTCAGTTTTAGGTATGCTCTAGTTCTAGTGTTTTTAATACCAAAAAATTTTCGGGATTTTTTTTTGGAATGGCAAAACGAATGACTGAATCGTAGTGTGTTTATACAGCAGAATTGTTTCTTAGTCGAACAATTCGATCCTTTAAGGATCTGTGCGCCAATCAGTCGATATGAGATAAATGTTAAACAGAATTGTTAACCCAGCAAATTTTCGATATTGCTTTTAAAATTAAATAATTTACCAAATGTAAACATACGAAGATTTGAAAATAGCCCATCAATTATATTCTTTAAATTTTCTCAAAGCCATGATATTTGAATACAAATAGTGTAACTAACAGTTGTCTTTATGTTTGCTGGGTAAGCTCACAGGATACAAAGTGTGTGAATATATGTATATCAGTGTTTGTGGCAAAAGCTTTATTTTTTTTATAATAATACCAATATATAGATGATGTCTTTGTATATATGATATAAAAACTGAATATAACATTTATGAACTTAAAATAGAATTAAAAAATGATTATACAAGTGTACGTGTAACATGAAAGGACAATGTACATGTGTCAGTAAGTATGTTATAAATGCCGGATGATTAGATGCTGGTGACATTAGACAATGTAACAATGTCACTGATATTGAAAGTAAAATCAGAATCAATATAAATGAATGGACATTAATTTGCTGCATGTAAATAAATAAATAAATAGTCTGACAATAATGGTCAGAAAGACAGACAGACAGTTGGAAGCAGGGACAATGAAATCATATGAAATGAAATTGTGTTTGTGATGAAGGTGATAAATTTCTCTGATACAATTATAAGAATACATATATGGATTTTTTTTTCAGACATCAGACAATCCTGATTTAGATTGAATACAGTAAGACGGTGTGAGTGATTTTTTTTTTTCATTTTAATACACTCAATAAATATTAGTTTGTGTGGGTGGGTACTTACCAAGGGCTCGTTGCTTTTAACTAGTTGCACAATTTTTATGGTTTCCTCATCCTCATCCATTTCAATTGGCAATTCTGGTAGATGTGGATAAAAATCTTTTTGTGCAATACAATCATGAGCATAAAGAAGACTCTGGAGGACAAAATAATATGAAAAAGGAAAAGCAATAAATCCACAGATACTTGAAAGAAACTATTTTTTTGTTTCCTTAAAAGACACCTACTTGTAAATGCGGTTTCTGCAGCAAATGAAATGCCTCACGGCATTCATCACTCAAGTGGCAACGTTGTGACAACTGTTCCAATACCTCATACAAAATCTATTAAAGGAAATAACATACATACATGTTGTAAGTTGTTTAAGGAACATACAACTTTCAAGAGCTTGTGATACTTACCATTGCTGATGTTGATAGTATGGGTGCCAGACGATCATCTCTCCCCACTTTTGCCACTTTACTATGAACATTGACCAGGGCATTGAGTTCTTTAGATTCGAGCAGTGCTTTTAGAAAATCAATCTCTTGATCATTGGAAAGACTGTCAGTGTCCTTGAGAGATGTTATAAGTTTTGAAAGAGCTTTAAGAGGGAAACATTTATTAATTTTATTATATTGTTATTAGTTTATCAAATTATGTTATTTACCCGGATCAAAAGTTGTGTCATTTGACGCCATTACTTCAGCTGTCATAATTCATATAATAAACGGCAGGATATCTGTGATATTTTGTTATTTTGAATTTAGTTTCGGTATAAATGGTCCTTATAAAAAATCTGAAAAGATTTAAATAAAAGTTTTAAGAATTTTATTGTTAAGTTAAATAGAATACTTTAAGTAAAAATCTAATTATAGTTTAAAGATTATTCATAAAAAATTTTGAATTTGAAAACAACACTTTATACTGTTCCAATTTACATCAACTTGACAATTGCCCCCGCATTCGACAGTAAACTTTTTGTACTAATTTCATTATCAACAAGTAATAAATTGAAAAAACTAAAATAACATAAAAATCGGTTAGCATACTGCAGTTTTTTTCCTACATTTAACAAATAAATTAATTCAAAATTTATAGAATAGTTGTGGGTCATAAATATTTGGTATGTCACAGTTTTTGATTGGCGTCTTATGTTCTGCTTGATTATAGTTTTTGGCACCCAAACGACGCCTGTTGATAGATGTAATAATATGAACTAGAAATAGAACCAAAACCCTAAAGTGGAAATACCCCAATGTACAATAGAATTGAAGGAAAATGAAAAAAGAAAACATTTGCTAAACAAAGTGTCATCATACTCTTGTACTACGGCCCACACTAAGTCTAGGACAAACTGAACGATAGAGGAGGGGGGTGAGAGACTACGGAAGATGTCATTGATAAATGCATTTCTGCAATTACACGTAAATTATACACAGTAAGTGTCGGTAATTGGGTTGTACTGATTGTATGTATGTATATTTCTATTAGTAGTACGAGTTGTTGAGAATACTGTAATAATGTATTTTTACACTCGAGAGAAAATGTTGATAATAAAATAGGGTGCTTTGCTTTGATGGCCTTATTTTACGGTGGTACTATCACAACCACAAGGTAAGCAGTTCGATGACTCACCTCCTCCCCTTTGCGGGTGGCTATTTTCCAGGCATGGGGGTATTGATTACACAAAGTAATTCATTACATTGTCTATTACAATTACTTGTAATGTGTAATTGAGCAATAACAAATTACAATTACAAGTAATTGAAGTTTTTCTAATTACTATTATTTGTAATGTTTAATTGACCAATAACCAATTACAATTACATGTAAATGTAATTGAAGTTCTTCCAATTACATTAATAAAAAAATTAGGTGTAATCATAATTCAGTTATTTCTAATTACAAATTACTAATTACAAATTACAAGTAATTGTAATTGGCAAAACTTCAATTACAAGTAATTGTAATTGGTAAAGCTTCAATTGTAATTGGCAAAACATCAATTACAAATAATTGTAATTGGCAAAAGTTCAATTACAATTACAAGTAATTGGAATTGGTAATGCATCAATTACAATTACTTTAAATATAATTGTAATTGAAAATGTAGTCATTACCGTACAAGCCTGCTATTTCGGTACATGATTCCCTCGATCATTATACAAGCACTTTGCTCAAGTACACGATCTATAAAATCTATGAACATTGATCCCGTATCACATACGCTTAACACAAACGCATTTCCCACCCTTATTCCCACTTATTTTTCTACAGCAGCATCTACTGTTTCATCGTGTATCAGCCTTTTAACCAGCATTCTCATCCCGCGAATTTGGATTTAAACCACAGCCACCACGTGCACCCCAAAGGGACCTCTCCAATAAACGGGGTAAGACAGAATCCGAATCGGATATCACTGCAGGTTCCGGTGATACCCAATTATAAGGTGTTGTGGTCCGAGTTATTTGGATATAATTTCAACCTGGCCAAAATTTTATAGCATTTCACTGATCACTTTGCTCGCTCTACATATTATTGAATCCTTTCATCCGATTTTGTGTTGATGTGCCAGTAAGCCTGATTGTCCACTATGAATACGTACCATCGTACTAACCTCGGACTTATTCATTCAGAGAAACCTTCTCTTCCTTATCTCATTGGGGTCCTACCCTCGGTTCCATTATGTCACGTGGCTATATGGGACTTCTAGCTTATATTTTTAATTTAGCTCTGTTTCGTTAAACAGTTTTGCATTCGTGAGTTTAACTTCTTCAAGTTCCCTTTCCTTTATAGAAAATACATTTTGTTTTTCATTGCCGATTATACTCGAATATCCTGGTCATATGGATGATGCATAGATTTTCCACTAGAATATTATTCCTTTGTGGCTTTCTTACATTCCATCACGGTCTTAGATTTAAACTTCTGCCTGTTAACTTTCGTTGGAGTCATATTGAATCCAATTCATTCCGTGATAGAACGGACTTTTATCTGGAAACAAGTATTGTAATTAGGGAGTTTTAGGGTTTCCGGGTTTTCTACTTATATAGATCCTCGGGCTCGTTTTGTCTTTCAGTTTAGTGCCATTCGTGCAACAAAAGATTTCAGCAGGGGTATTACTATTGACCATGTCTCCTATTTGGTATTAATGTTGGCATTACCGATGACTTCGGTTTCCAAAATATTATCGGGCATGCTTGATGTTTATATATAACCGCCCAATATGTCCAGTATGAAGTGTTCTGTAATTAGGTTTGGTCAATTAGCCCTGAAAAAAAAGAGCCGCTCGGTGGTGAGTACCACCTCGTATCTTATATATTTTTGATTCGAAGGATATCCAGCAATGTTTCTAGGGTTTCGGTTGACATAATGCTCATGACACCACTTATACCTAAGCAACATATACAAAAAACTCCCTATAGTGATATTATGTTACATTTGTTGTCTAGAGGAGTAAGCCAGATTATGGAAGTCATAATTCTATAACATAGAGTTGATCTAATTTTATAAAGCCATTGAGTCAAACTTGGATCTCATTTCGAGCCTTTGATTCTCTTACATATCGCTGAACGATGAAATGCTTTGTTAGTTCTATACTCTATGTGGTATTTCCATATTAGTTTTCGACCTAGGCTTCGAGTCTTTGATTCTCTTACATATCGCTGAACATCGAAATGCTTTCTTAGTTCTAGGCGTTTAACACTTCCGGTCACTGATATAGGCAGACATTTTGCTATTCTTACTTTAAAATAGTCTAAATTTACCCAAAAAACAACGAACTTAATAATTTAGTTAACTGGCCACGTGACTCTGCCATGTTAATTATAGGTTTTTGTTCTTTATTTACAAAATGAATGCAAAAAATTATAACCGTTATTTTTCATTTGTTTAGAAAAGTTTATGAAACGTTTATTGTCTAAACTTTAATGGATTCAAATGTTTAAATTGTTTTGTATCACGCTAATTGAATTTTTAAATAATTTGTTTACTTTAGCGTTTTTTTATGAATTTTTTTTAAATATTTATATAGAGCAACAAGCAGTATTTTTTTATAATAACAAATACGAACATATTATTTAAAAAAGTCTAATCAAGAAGATTTTTATGATATTATAGTTTTTCGAACCAACCGAAAAAATACCGGAACTAAGAAACTTTTTAAACGTTTATCTTATGACGCACAAAACTAAACCGCTGGACTTTTTATGGATATGACTTCATCACACATTCTATTTTGACGTATATCGATAATTTTTGATAAATAACGGAAAAAGTGTATTCGAAGGATATCGCAGGATATTATCCTTTTTAGCATGTAGTGACATCAAAATCTATTTCTTTAGAAATAACCATTTACTGCAGCTATGATCTCAAAATTACCCTCGAAATAGAGAAAAATGTAAAAACAAAACTTGGGACACCCGTATCCCATATACGTGAAAGAGTTAATTAGTAAGTTCTAATCTTTTTTAGCTTCTTTGGAAGTTATTTTTAATCTGGTTCTATATAACAATTGTGTAAGCGTATTACTTATTAATTGCTGCAAAAATTTAAAATAATATTTAACTTATTATTTATAGAACTAAATACATAGTAACTATAACTATATACAAGTCACTCAAAATAGGAATATTCTTCAAAAATATTGTTAATATTATAAATGCAGTAAAAAATTGTTTGAGTTCAACAACCCAGAATAGAATTTTATATAAATAGAAGTTGTGCACCGTAATAAAATATTATTTTTATTTCAGCTAAATAAATATAAAAATGTAATGTTGAAATACGTGTACAAAGTTTTTGGCCAAAATTTGGCAAGAAGAAAAACTATAATAAGAAAACTATTTAAGTTTTTTGAAGAACCTTTCTATTAAGTGAAAAAACCCCCTATAAACTCTAAAACGTGGTCAAGGCTTTGGGAAAAGTATATACATATAGATCCTTTTAAAATGTAAACCTTTGCTGTCCTTATGATTAACTTTTGAGATATTTCTTATAAAACAAATAATATCTATTGAAGTACACAGTAAAATATACCCCCCAATGAAACAAGAAAGAAGTAGAAGTTACGAAATGAAAGTGATAAAAAGGAAGCACATCTGGTACTTAAGATAATGAAGCATTATATCGGTACGAAGATGACATCATTATTAGGGTTCTATAAATCGACTTTCGAATAATCGAACAATCGACTTTTTGTCGAAAAAAGTCGAAAAGTCGAAGTCGACTATTTTGTTCCAAAAAAGTCGATAACTCGACTATGGTCTGTGAAAAAAGTCGAAAGTCGACTTTGTTAATAAAAGTCGAAAAGTCTGAAAGTCGAAAAGTCGAAAAAAGTCGATAAGTCGAAAAAGTCGAAAAGTCGAAAAAGTCGATAAGTAGAAAAAGTCGATAAGTCGAAAAAAGTCGAAAAAAGTCGAAAAAAGTCGAAGAAAGTCGAAAAAAGTCGAAAAAAGTCGAAAAAAGTCGAAAAGTCAAAAAGTCGGAAAAAGTCGAAAAGTCGAAAACTCGAAAATTGTAGAAACAAGTCAAAAATAGTCGAAAATCTTAAAAAAAGTGGAAAAAAGTCAAAAACTCTAAAATAGTCGGAAAAACTCGAAAAAAGTCAAAAAATAGTCAAAAAAAAGTCGAAAGAAGTCGAAAATAATCAAAAAGTCGAAAAAATCGAAAAGTCGGAAAAAGTCGAAAAAAGTCGAAAAGTCGAAAAAATTCGAAAAGTCGACTTTTAACTAAATGAAAAAAGTCGAAAAGTCGACTTTTCGTTTCAACTATAGAACCCTAATCATTATGTTG